GGTTTATCAAAAGGAAAAAAAAAAAAAAAAAAAGGGAGGGGTGGTGGGGGGAGAAAAGCGGCACAAAAATGACAACTAAAAAAAAAAAAAGAAAAAAAAAAAAAACGCCAGCAGCTCCATCCCGTTTAAAAAACACGTTAAAAAGACGTCAATTTGCGTGAGTTTAATTTCGTGTGTCCGAAAAGTCGTGGCCGAAAAAGGCGAATAAATAAGCATCGTTACGTTAATTCTTTTGGTTCCAGTGACGGTCGTACACATGGCATTAAAGAAATAAACATGTTTCACTAAAAATTGATACTCAAGACTGCATTATGAGTTTCAACATTTATGCATATTCATGATTCCCATCCGTGTAAGTTATCGACACCTTTCGTTTGTTGGCTTTTCTGCTTCGCCTCACTCTCGAGCAGTGTCGTTGAGGGGGGTGAAAAGGGCGAGGTGCATTCCATCTTGGAGATTCCCGTGTCCAGCCTGCATCTTCACCTCAATCCTTTCCCCTTCTGCCCATCATCACCAGCATCATCATTCCCACCCTCTCCGACAGAAATACCGAGATGCAGGACAAAATTCATTTGCCCTCGCACCAGACCCACATCGTATGCGGTGGTCTCTGTAAGGGGACCAAAGGGGGTTGTTATATGTACATGTTTTATATGCAATATGCGATGATAATAAAGAAACTGTTTCCGACACCGCGCAGGAGTACACAAAATAAGTGATTTGCCGCATCCAAAATATATAGTTTTCTTCTACCGTTGTGGTTTACTCCCAAACTGACCTCTCACACACACAAATATGACGCCCATATAAATCCCTTCCTTCCTTCCTTCCTCCTCATTCTCTCTTCTATACGTGTTAACTGTCGTTGTTCTTTTCTTTTCCTTTTTTTTTTTTTTTTTCTTTTTAGAAAAGTGACATTTCTTTTATATTTCTCCTCCTCCCCTCCACCTTCCCCCCTCCCCGCAATTACACGGCTTTACTCTCCTTAAGTCCTTCATTGTTCACGCCTGTAGTGCAAATACGTCCCCTCGCGTATGGCCCTAACATTTATTTTTCTTCATTTTGTTTTATCATTCGCTTCTTGCGCCTTTCACTCAAAATCACACAAATTTTTTTTTTTCTTCCAAAATTTTCCTCAACTTCTTTTACACCGTCTCTCGCAGTTGTTCCTCGCGTGTGCTCCCAGACGGCATCAATTTTCGCCTTTCATTATACGTCTATTTGTGTGCGTGTATGTGTGCCAATGTGAAAATAAATACGTGTGATAAAACTCTCTGCAGCCATTTTTGTAAGTCTCTTTTTTCCTTCCCCTCACTTTTCTTTCATGTTTTTTTTCGATTTGCTTCCTCGCGTTTCACTGCATTGCTGCCTCTTTTAAAAAAAAAAAAAAAAAAAGCTTGTGGTATTTCTTTGCAACCAGTTTCCTCCCTCGTGTCTCCCTCCCCCCGCAATGGCATTTCAGTTCCGGCATGACCACCAGGCGTTGTACGTGAACCCACAACACACATGCACACAGACAGAAAGAGAGAAACAGAAAATAGGCCCCTCCTCTCCTCCCATTCAACAATTAACTTTAGAAACACTCTCCAATCGTCTATTCTTCTTCTTCTTCTTCTTCTTCCTCTACTGCTTTAATTTTTCCTCTCTGCTCTCAGAATTAAAAAGGCACATCTCCCCCTCTCTTTTCTGTCGTTCCTCCGTTTATTCTTGGCGCCTCGTCTGTGCCATATCGTCTGAGGTCACCGTTCAAAACTCTCTCTTTCTCTTTCTCTTTCTCTCTCTTTTTGTTCTTTCCCCAATTGCTTTTCAAAAATAAATAAAAAAAAACAGCATCACAAAAAATCCAAAGGCCCGTTTCGGTGTCCACATGTGTGACCCACGTCCTTCCTTACACGCCCCACTCATCATCTCGGAGGAAAAACGAAACAATAAAAATATTATACACGTAACTGACGGATTTAGATTGAACCACTCTGTCATGGATGCCCCCTCCCCCCAGATGCGTGTTGTTGTTTTGTTTGTTGTTTACTTTTTTTTTTTTTTTTTAATTTCCCTCCCTTCCCCTCCTCCTCCCTTCACCTTCGTTCGCTATTTATTTCGGTCCTTCTCTTACTCGGCAGTGAAGGTACTCCTTTCCCCGGCGCACCGTCCCCAGGCATATCCAAAATACATGCACATACATTTATCCGTCATTCACACAATTCCAACCTTGTAACGATGCGGCAAATGCATAGAGGAGGAAGAGGGGAAGGAGAGAAGAAAATGAGAAAAAAAAAAAAAAAAGAGAGCAAAAGCGTTTAAAAACTTTCTCATTGCCTTCTCATTCTGTTTTTTTTTTTTTCTTTTTTCCTTTTTCCTTTTTTTTTTTTTTGTTCACTTTTCCTGCTTCACAATTTTGATGTTGCCCTCATCTTTTTCTTCTTCTTTCTTTCTTTTCTTCGTAGCATTTCTTATTTCCCCCCTGTGGAAATATTTTTTTTATTTTGTTCTCTCACTCTCTCTCTCTCCTTTTTTTGTAAGGCCTGTGTGTGTGTGTGTGTATGTGCTTGTGCTTCTCTGGGTTTCCTCGCTGTTTCGCATTGATCGTTTCCTTTTCTTTTCATTTTTTCTTCTCCCCAGGGTCCTTTTAATTTCCTTCTTCTTCTCCGTGTGTCCTTCCCACGCCAACGCCTAACTTTGCACTGCCTCACTCCTAAGTAATTCATTTGTTCGCCCTTTCCTCTATATTATTTCCTCATTTTAACCAAATTGTTAGCCCCACTTCGGGCTTCTCCTTCTCCCTGCGCACGATCCCACCGATGGCATTAGGAGTTGAGGCCATCCGCAAACATGCTGCGGACGTTTCCTGTGGGCCCGCCAAAGGCACCACCCCCTGTACTGCTGCCGCCGTAGCCACGGGAGCCACCGCCACGACCACCTCCGCCCATGTTCGCACCATAGCCGCTGCCGTAGCCAAAGCCATCACCGTAACCGCCACCGTAGCCACCACCGTACCCACCGCCATAGCCTCCGCGGTTGTTGCCGCCACGGTAACCACCACGCGAGCCACGAAAGCCGCTCCCGCCAAAAAAGCCACCGCCATGGAATCCGCGGAAGCCACCACCAGCATTACCACCACGACCGTTGTTAACGTTGGGACGCTTGGTAAGGTCCATAATCTGTTGAAGGACATTTTGGTGGGTTTCGTTTAGCAGCGGAACAAGGTCGTCAACAATGTTGCGGTTCTTTTCATTGAAAAAGGATATTGCACGACCAACCTTTCCCGCACGACCCGTTCGGCCAATACGATGGACGTAGTCATCAATGTTACTCGGCATATCATACTGGATAACGATGCTCACGTCAGGAATATCAAGACCACGTGAGGCAACGTCTGTGGCAACAAGTACTTGACATGACGCGGATTTAAACATTTTAAGTGCTTCCTCACGTTCACGTTGTACCCGATCGCCATGAATTGACGCACACGCTACCCGATTGTTTCGAAGGAATCGTTCCAAGTAATCAGCATCGCGCTTTTTCTCCACAAATACAAGAATAAGTTGGTTTTGATTCTCGTGAAGAAGCCTGAGGAGATGTTCCCGTTTGTCGTTGTCCTCAACCCAGCGAACATCTTGGGTGATATTTTCCGTCGTTGAACCTACACGACCAACTTGCAAGAAATAGTGACGATGTAAAAATTCCCTTGCAAGTTGTTGAATTTCAGTTGGGAAAGTAGCCGAGTACAATAACGTCTGCCGCTGACCAGGAGGTGGCATGTCACTCTCCTGGCCTTGGACAATCATACGAATCTGTGGCTCAAAACCCATGTCAAGCATGCGATCAGCCTCATCCAGAACCATAAAACGAATTGAAGAGAAGGTCACGTAGCCCCGGGTAAATACGTCCCATAAGCGGCCAGGTGTAGCAACCAACAAACCGCAGCCCCGTGAGAGTTCATGTACTTGGTGGCGGGGATCCGCACCACCGTACACAACAACACATCGAATCCCGGTTCGATAGGTAAACTTGCGACCTTCCTCATGAATCTGGATGGATAGTTCACGGGTGGGGGCCATTACCAACGCAGCTGGTGAAGAACGGCTCCCTTGCCCTTGATGGTTCGGAGTTGCGTTGCTCAGTATGGAGCTCACAAGAGGGATCAAGTAGGCTGCGGTCTTTCCAGAGCCTGTCTGTGCGCAGGCCATGAGATCATGGCCACACAAAACAACAGGAATACCGTACTTTTGGACCGGTGTTGGCTTTTGGTATCGACAACGTGCCACATTTTCCTTGAGTGCCAGCGGAGTGTTCATGGAAGCAAACGACTCCATTGGTGGAATGTCGTTGGGCGAGATGTGTACCTTAATAGCCTCGTACTGGTCAAAGTTGATGCCGGGAGTATGCTCCTTGAATATTTCCTCTTCGGGTTTCTCCTCGCGGTGGTATGCGTGGGAAGGACTTTCACCTTGGTACTGCAGTGGTCGGTTAAAACCATTTTCTTGGCCAAAGCCACCACCGCGACTGTAGCCACCACCGCCCCGGCCACGGCCGCCTCGGAAGTGACCGCCATCAAATCCACCCCCTGCCCGTGGTTGGTAGCTGTTGTACGCACTCTGAGGGCTACCATTCCCAAATGCACCGGGACGTCCACCCCACTGAAATTGGGGAGTAAACGGCGGCGGAACATCTTTTTGGCCGTAGGAAGTGTTGAAGTGCATTTTTTTTTTTTTTTTCTTTTTATGCAGCTTGCAAAGAAACCGAAGGGATAAAAAAAAAAGAGCTAATGACTAATTGAAACTGTTGCAACGGTGTCGTCGCCACAAAGCAAAAAAAAAAAAAAAAGAAAGACAGCCAAGAACAGAAGTAAAAAAAAAAAAAACAGAGAGACAACCAACAACGACAACAACAATAAAAGGGCGGATATTACAGAAAAAAGTAAAAGTATACGTACACAGAAACACCCACCCCCCACGGTGTGGCGCAAGCACAAAGTGAAGGATGCAGGATAAACTCTCTTCGCGATAGAAGTGAAAAACAAAAAAAAAAAAAGAAGAGCAAAAAAAAAAGAAAATGGCGAGGGAAGTTATTTTATTGCTTTGGAAAGTTGCGACAATTTCGCTCTCCCCGTGGCAACGATGCAATTTTCTTCAGTTTGTCAACTGTCATTGAGACGCTGCTGGTACTCCGACGCGCTCCTAAAAAACGCTTGAATTCGCTGCTGCATGGTGTCTCGGCGCCAGTGCAGAATGGGTTGCGAAAAGTACGCCCCAACTGCAGTGACAGTCGTCGTGCCAAACAACGACTGCGCCACAATGGAGCCGCAGCAGCCATGGCTTCTCCGAGCGAGCCATGAAAGCACCGACTGGAAAAGTTCCATCCTGGTCGAGGACTCTTGAACTTCCAGTGTGCCCCGTTGGCAACGTTCCCGTTCCTGTAGAGAAACACGCGCAGCACAATGTACTTCGAGGTGGCGCAGTGCATCGCATTCTTCCCCCCACTCCCGGAGAATCGTGAGTCGTCTATAATTCTCCTCCTCAGCAATTGCAGCAACACGAAGACAGTGATATGTCGCAAAAATGTCCACGCATGAAATGCCACCAAAAGGCCGACCAAAATGAAGACACAAAAATGCCGTACATGACAACAACATTGAAACGCTCCGCGGTATTCCACTTCTACAAGCCTTCCCACTTTCCCAATCACACACATCCTCCTTTTCTGTTCCCCCAAATTCATTGGAGCAAACCTCACTAATGTCATCTAATCCACTGTGCGAGCAAAATTCATCCTGCAATGCCGCGATAGCCATCAGTAAATTGCGGTCCTTTTTCCAAACCTCAATGAATTCTGCCCAGCAGTGCTCACTAAAACCGCCAAAGACACGAATTAGCTCCGTCACAGCATCGACAAACAAGAGAGAACTCAATTTTTTCCATCCTTGCCATTGAGGCTCGTCCAGACTAAAGTGTTGAGTACATTCTTGGTTATTACGCAAGCAAGCAAACGGTCGAAGCACTAACCACCTAAGTGTGGGATAACGACGCGCAAAATACCGCATACGAACCGCCACAACATCAGCAAATGTCACCTCATCACGCCACAACGACTCCAAACCAACGGTTCGGACAAGGGAGCGTGACGCGTGCAGGGTATCCAAGAGATCATATGGCAGTGTGCCAATAATTTTTTCATTCTGTAGGAAAAACGTATGATCAACTTGTTGGGAAGGTAAGCCACGCCAAAGCACACGGTGGGCAAGGGATGGCTCCCAGTACGGTATCCGCGTCTCCTCTCCAGACCATGCCAGGATCGGGTCACCTTGAGGAGTTAAACCCCCGCCTTGGGCAGCTTCTATTGAGATGCACAATAACAAAAATAAACGGTAATGCAAAAGCGGGCAAGCAAGTGCGCGCCGCACCGCCGGGCGTAAAAGAAATTCCTCCGCCTTTCGTTCCTCAAGCGTTTGAGAAAACAAAATACACACCCTTTTCCCATGTGTATGTTGGTTCAGAATGATGGATAACAACGGAAGATCCCCATTCTCATTTAACTCCTCGCTCTCCCTCATCTTTTCCGCATCACTCATACTTCTAATCGGAGTGGTATTGTCGCAATAAAATTTCACTGGTTCTGATGCCAAAAGGCCTTTGTTTTTATTCGCAAATAAATGCTCTTTCGGCGGTTCGCACCATTCATCCACAGATGTTTCTACATGAAAACACCTTCGCTCTTCCTTGTTCGGTGTCAAGGGAAGTTGGGAAATAAACGGTAAAGACGTCATTCTCTTGTTTTTCTCTTTCCTCCTCTGAACTTTGAGTGTACTCGGTTCTGTAGCGCAGAATTCTTGCAGCAGCCGTGACCCCAAATAAGGTTTCGTATCTAACGGATCGGCAGGAGTAAACGGGAAAAGCACATGTGAATCAAAATATGATGGTGATTTTTTCAAATATACTTCCCGTTGAATCGTATTGGTCTTGTAGCCAACGCGATTGCCATTTTTATTTGGGTCAAATTCGCGGAGAAGGTCATGAATCATCGCTTCCTGCCACTCTTTCTCGGTAACAACATCATGATGGCCGCTGGCAGAACTTATATCCATCATGTATGCTTCTCGGTACTGCGCCATAAACTCCTCCATGCGCAATACCTCTCTCGGCGCAAAACGCGTAAACAATTGCTGTAGCCTCAGTCGTCGAGTGATGTCTTCCTGTGCATCACCAGACAAAGATTGCCTCAACAGCGTCAATTTTCGTTCTTTTAGATTGTTGTTGTCGTTGTTGTTGTTCTTTTTGTTGTTGCTGGGTTTTTCATTTATCATGTCTAATGAACCATTTTGAATGTCAACCCTTCTCCCGTCGCTTCGTCGTCTTTGAACGACCTCCATGGGGTCAAGAAGCTTAAAGGAGGAAAAACCGACAGACCTATCTGATGGTTGACAAGATAAGCTGCCAGGAGAGGAATCAATGCCTGCAGAACGACCACGGTTGGAGGGAGAAGAGCAGGACTCATTCGCCGTGTCAGTTGGCCAAAACTCATGCTCGTACTTTGCCGCCAAGTCAACAAAAAGCTCATCCCAGTGTCCCTTGTATGCAAAAATTATGTTATCAATGTACTCGAGCTGCCGTGGGTTGTGTCTTTCATAGAAGCTAATAAGGCGCCTGCGAACACCCTCCTCGTCTTCCACCTGCGAATCGATAAACTGGGATGACATCCTTCTTCCCACAAAAACAAAACAACAACAACAAAACACACGCACACACACCTTATTCTTGTGGGTTTATTTTTGCCCTGTTTTACAAGACGTCTTTGCTATCATTACGATTTTGTTAAAGGTTAGAAAAGAGTTGGAGCAAAACAACAGCCAAAATGACAAACAATACAAGTTAACTAGGGGGCAAAAATCCTCACCCTCCTGTAGGTGTTTTTGCATGGATGCGCCGTTCTTTTTGTCGTTGTAGCCTCTTTTTTTTCTTTTTTGTTTTTTTTTGCAGTTCCTCCCGTGTGTGGGTAAAGTTTTTGGCGCTGTACATATGGAGAACTAAATGAATAAAGTCACGTTTTTTTTTTTCTTCTTCCTCGTCGCTTTGGGAGAAAGAGGAGTCACACCGCGGACCTTCTCGCTTCTCGCTTCTCGCTTCCATCGCTCCTTGGGTGATTTCAGCGTCGCTTGACTTTCTTCCCGTTTCTTGTGAGCATCAGGTCCTCCCGCAGCCGCTCCACCTCCGTTCTGTACGGCTCCCACAGTTCCAGGAGTTCGTACTGCAAGGCCGAGAAGAAGGTTGGTTCAATTGCACGCAGCCGCTGATAGTGTTCCTCCACCACCTGGTATCCGACTGCATGAACCGCCACTACCGGCTTCTCCGCCTCCTTTCGCTCTGCAGCCTTTGACTTCTTCAACTCGGTGACCACCTGCGCAGGGGGCTTTTCTCGCTGCTCGTACGGAACCCTAAACATGTCCTCTGCAATAGGAATCTTCGACACCACAGTGCGGGCAATCGCCACATACATCTTTGTGAGAAGATCCACCCCCGTAAGCGATATCGACGACACATTTTTCTTCTTTTCTCGGCGTTCCCGCGGTAAATCTTCAAGAGGTTGCCAACCTCTCGCGACGGCACGTGCGAAAAAAAGTGCAGCCCGGCCGTAGTTTTTTTCCTTAAACGCCCCGTTCGCGAGGATTAGCATGGCCTCCGTAATACACTCGGGTGGGACGTCTAGTTCGTGTGGATGCATCAACGCCGTCTCCACAAAACTGTTGTAGTCACGTAGAGCGGCCCCAACGTCCTCCCTCGAAGTCCGTGGGCGTTCACAACTGCGTTGTTCAAACGCCTTGGCGCGCTGCAAGTACGCCATAGCTGTGCAGGAGTCATTTCCGGGCAGACTCAACAACAATGAGAGGTCTACAATTGCCTTGTCAACGTTATGCAGCTTTGACGCGTAAACAGCAGCACGACGAAGAAGCGTCTTTCGACGGATTGTCACCGGTTGACGCTGGTCCAGTGCTTTAGAAAGCTCCTCCATCTCGGAGATAGTGTCGTTAATCATGGCACATACATCTGCGGCGCGGGAGTAATAATGTGCGCAACTCCTTCGCAAACGTTGTAAATGTCTTAAATTTTCTAAAGCCAGTGGTGCATCCCGCGCGAGAATGGCGCTCTCAGAAGAATCCTCAAGGGCTGCCACGTAAGCTGAGTTCGCCACCGCCAACTCGTAGAAGGCCCTTGCCTCCTGCGCCAATGTTTCTGCAGAATTACTTACTGAGTCCTCTGACAAGGTAGCTGCTGCCTGCTCGGCTTGTTTTTCCTTCACAAGACCAAGGCAGTAGTACGCGTGTGCCTCGTAAAAATCGGATGAGTCAAACAGAGTAAAACAGGTGCCAGAGGGTACCGCAGAAGAGCTCGCTGTTATTTTTGTCATTTTTAACAGCTCGAATAGGTGACGCTCCGCCGCTTCATATTTTCCCGCCTTTATTGCACACTGACCCGTGTGAGCCACCACTGCCAGAGTGGGTGGGCTTAAAGAAAGATACTTCTTATATTCCTCATACGCCTCAGCGTTATTCCCCAGGTGTTCGTGACAAGCACCTCGCAATGCATACGTGACAGGCGTAAGTGGGTCGATGCGGCTACTGAGATTTAAAAAAGCCAGTGCCTCACCATGCGCGCTCTTCCGCAAGGACAGCTTTCCAAAACGACGCAAGATGTCAGCCGTCCTCGCGCAATCCCGTTCCAGCTTTGCATCATCGTGGAAAGCGACGGTGTTTATTGCCCCCAGCGCAATAGAGTCAGAACGGTAAAGCTGCTCAATGGCTGCCTGCAGGTAATTTTCCGCAACCGCAAACTGCCCTGTCAACTCTGCCGTCTCGGCGTTATCAATACACCATTGCACGGGATCCGATGAGGAAGAGAGGGCTGTCAGCAACATCTTCTGTGAGCCTTCAGATCGCATGGCCAAGGATGCAGTCTTCAGACTCCCACAGCGCTCCAATAACGCACGGGACGGCGTCTCTACTATCGGCTTCCACCCGGAATCCATGACAGAGCGCCAGTAGTTCTCAATGAGGCGGCGAGTTATTGGACCGGAGCCAGCCAAATTCGACAGTGTGGGAGTCGGTTCCCTTCGCACCGTCTCTGCGCAAGCAGAATTTCCTTTCCCCCCCATTTGCTTTTCTCGCGCACAGTTTGTTGGTAGATTTCAACGTGCTCCTCACTGCAGCCTATACCGTCAGACAGCATAATGAAAAAAAAAAAAAAAAAGATACACAAAATGCATCAAAAAAGTAGCGCAAGAAACAACAAAAACAGCACAAACAAGTAACAAAAATTAGAAGAAAATAAGGGAGAAATAAAATTCAGGTAAAGGAGAAACTCTTGATAATATACATAAACAACCAGAAGGACACTCTGAGAGCCACACACTATTCAACATTTAAGCCCCAGCTTATATCAGCTGCCTCAACATCGGTTAATTCTACGTGACATTTTTCGCCGTCATCGTCAAACGAAACTGCAGCACCAAGAGGTGGGAAAATAACAGGCTCTGTCCATTTGTATCCTAGCGCAGCAAACTCCTGCACACGACGATCATACAATTTTCGTTGCTCTAGTTCCAGTACTTCAACATGACGCAAAAGTCCTAGCCGCGGAATAAAACGGCTATGTTCGTTAGTTTTCTTATGGGGAAGGTCATACATTGTGCCAGATTTAAATATACCTTTGGTCCATTCACCACAAAGACACTGTTGTCGGTTTACATAACACCACATACCAGGTCCCTCACGCAGCCCCATGGCCCAGTATCCATCGTACCAGTCGCCATTTGTCAGAAGCAGCAGCGCACGTCCATCACAGAGACCTTTACGGAACTCTCCCTTCAAGTGGTCTCCGTTAGCCATAAAAAGTCGGCCAAAACCGTTACGTTTATCATCTGCCCACTCCCCCTCGTAAACGTCGCCATTCTCGTCCCAAGAGGTACCAAAGCCATCACGCTTTCCAGCCAACCATTCACCCCTGTACACACGTATCCATGGCGATTTTTCATCTGCACGAATCCATAGCGTTCCTTCACCTTCGCGCAAGCCATTCCGAAACTCACCACGGTATCTGCTGCGCCTCTGCAACAGCTCCCCGAAACCGCCAAACTTACCATCTTCCCACTGCCCTTCGTATGACGCGGTCTTGCTAGGATTGAGAAAAATGCGGGTGCGCATGCCATGTGTTTCAACCTTTCCGATTTGCTGCTGAGCCCTAGTCTTGCAACGTTCAATCAATTCTGCCTCTCGATCCAATCCTAACATTGTTTCTAAACCCCTTCTTGGGACGGTGCCATAAATTTTTTTGTAGGTGAGCAGCAATTTCTCCTCTGCTTCCGTCAAGGGGCGTCCGGCAGTATCTGAATCATAAATCTCCGAGACAACTTCCTCCCCGAGAAGAGCCTCCTGTCGAAGCAGCTGCCGAATTAACATACCTCGATCAGATATGACGACGATGGGTTTCAAAACGCACCGCAACTGACGAAAGAGTTGCAGGCTTTCAAGCGTTTCAATCGATTCATTGTACTGCAAGGGACTCGTGCAACCAATCACAAAACATGCTTCAAATCCACAGATGAACTGAGACATCATGCGGGAAAAATTACACTCCATAAAGAATGATTGGCTACGACGAATGAGTTCACGATGCTTTTCAGGTGTGGTAGAGAAAGCCCGGCGCTTCTCACGGTACTCCAGCGAATGAATGGCCGCCGCACGAAGAAGTGTAACGCCGACATTAATGCAGCTTCCCTCCCTGAGTTGTTCACCACGAATGCCTTTCTCTCCGACCCGATCCGTCCCTTTCATGTGTACAAAAGTCATGGTGCGAATATAATTCTTCGTCCCCTCTGGTTTGTCGGTCGTCACGATAATAAGCTGCACAAAGCCATGCCATCGAAACATCCTTTCTTCGCATCGACTCATCCTAGTGCGGTTCCCACGGCCTAACTGCATCAAAAATTCCTCCACAGTCGGTACCTCCACTGCAGTCAGGTTCGGTATCGTCAGACGGTCTAAATGGTCGCGGGAGACGGCATACGAAATGGCTTCTTTACCCTCATCGTTCTCACGTAAGTTGTCCTCCACAGCATCACGGCTCATTTCCCAGTAGCGCATTAAAACCTTCGCCTCGTACTCGTCGGACTGAGCCTCAAGGCGGCTGTAAAAATCTCTTACTGTGCTGAGGAGAAGCCCATCACCGTCCCCATCTCCGTAAAGTGTGTAGGTTTTTCCCGTATCCGCAAACCCAAAGACAACAGCGTTGCAGCTCAAACCCTGAATTGCAAGATCGACCATCTGTGACCCAATGCTGGAATAAATATCTTCCTGGGTCGCAGCGCAGGAAAAGTAGTAGTCGCAATCGTACATTAGTCCCTCAGTGACTCCTGGTGCATGGGCAATGACTTTGCCCTCATCCGTCCGGAGGCACAGCCGAACGTTTGGACCGTCTTCTTCCATAATGGCCCGCTCACGCACCGCAACACGCAGTCTCTGAAAAGAGAAAGTATCTTCCATTACGATTCGTCAAAAACCCTCCCACAAGCTTCCTCTTCCTTTTTTGCTCCCTTCTTAACTCTTTTTTTTTTTTTTTTTTCACTCCCTTTGGAGCAAACTGGAGACGAGGATCAGACTTTTACTGGCCCTCTTTGTCACATGTAGACGATTAAAAAAGAAAAAAAAACAAGAAGCGTTAAACCCGCCACAGTAATACTCCTCCGAAACGGGCGTAAACGGGGAACTTGATAAATATAACGCTAGAAGCGTGCACCATAAAAGGGCACGTCAAATTAGAAGAAACGCCAAAAACAAACAAAAAATGACTCAATGAATCCATCGGATGAAAATTTTACTTCTTCGGTTTGCTTTTCGGCACAGGGACACGCTCCTGAGGCTGAGTCATGAAGAGCTGCACATGGCACGGACTGCACATGTATGGCGTAATACGGCCGTGGGCACGGTAAGTGCGGCGGCGCATGCGGGCGGCCTGATCCACCTGTACGTGCTTGATGACCATCTTGTTGGGGTCAAGACCCTTCTCGATGGCGTTTGCCTCGGCATTCTTCAGCAGTGAGAGCATTGCAACAACAGACTTGCGTGGCCAACGTCCCTTTGTCTGTCCCCACTCCTTCGCCTGAGCGGTACGGCCAATCTTGCCATTGTAGCGCTTGAAAGGAATGCAGCGTGTCTTGGCAAGAACCTGACGGTACAGCTGCTGTGCCTTGCGAAGGGGCATGCCGTTGATCACATTCGCTGTCTCAAACGTGTTCTTGAAGTGGCAGCGGAGATCACTGACCTTCGCCTTGGCGCTCTTCGAGCTCACCTGAGGCTTCCTTGAGTAGTGCACCATCGCTCGAGGAATTCTAAAAAGAAATGTGTGCAAAAAAATATTTAGCAGTCAAAAATAAAGAAACCAAGAAAAAAAAAAGAAATCGCCGCAATTAGACCTTTACCCAGAAAAACATTACAAAAGAAAATGCATTTGAATTATTCCACGTGACAGAGAAATATATACACAATTAAACACACAGACACACGCACAGAAAAGGGCAAAACCGAGATCAATCCAAACCTACTGTTCATCAACTGACATTGGTCCAGCAATAGCGTGTGTTAAGGATAGGGCGAGGCCCTCAAAAATTACACATCCCTCCCCGCCAAAACCTCGTCGTTTAATACTCCGTTTTTTTTTTTGTTTTTTGTTTTTTTTTTGTTTTTTTTTTGTATCATTTCCGTGTTGCGATTGTTGGATTGTTTGTTGTTGTCGTTGTTTCTACTCATTAAAAAGCTCGATCCTTCAGCCTTTCATAAAGGCCTTCACGCGAGGAATCAACCTCGTCGCAAAAGGCTGCAGACGTGGAACGAGTACAGGTGCCATCATGAGAGTTGCAGCAAGTTCCAGTGGCACCAAAAGTTTATTTAGCAGAATCGAGACGCCCAGCGTGGCCCAAAAGGACCGATCTTTCTTCTTCGTCACAGCGGCATCAGCACCGTTGCCGGATCCAATTGGATCGTCGCCAACACTAAAGCCATAGGAACGTGCAATGCCCACTAAGTCCACGTGAAGAAAATACAGGGAAAAAAATATCGCGGCAAGAAAAATGTTGTGCACAATGAGATACAACAACAAACCACCACCGCCATATGCCGCTAACTTTTGCTTCGTCGTGAGGGTACCGCCCCCGCCAGGTGAGGCCGGGGATCCGCCTTCCCCATCAGATGCGCCGGGGGCACCCTTGTCCGGTGTCCCACCGCCCTGTACCGTAGCCCGATGATGAACACGATTTTCTGCATCAACATAAAGGCCTTGGCGACGATGAAACAATGAAAAGCATGTCCTGAAGCCAGATGGCACCTCAAAGGTTGTAAGATTTGTCAGTAGGTTGTGATAATAGGGCCTCCTGTGCTCGAACGAGTAATATTCTCGCCACACTACACACGGATCACGGGGGTCGGGTAGCTCCACACCAACAGCTGTCGCCGGAAACTCCTGACACGGGTTGAAAAGAGGCAACGCCCGACTCACCGCAGGAAGAAGCGTATACCTGTCCACAGCGACATCTGATATTGATCCATCGCCCCTTTCACGAGAACCATCTCCAGCATCCACATTCACATTACGAGCGCAGCTAATCCAACGAATTGACTTGCGGCTAAAATAAAAACAGACCACACGGCGCATGCCGGCTGCCAGCACCAAAAATGTTTACTATTAATTAATATATATATATATATGTAACAAAAAAATAAAAAAAAAAAGAACAGGGCGTACTGTTTAAGTCAACGACGACAACAAAGCCTCATAGGAAAACGAACCCGTGCACAAAAAAAAAAAACTATATGTCCTAGTTTTTATGCAAACTACTAAAAAACAAAAATAACAAAATTAAAAAACGTTTGCAGCTAGTGCTACAGCTGTCTCACTCTCATGCGGCGATCATCTTGCTTCCCATTGTAAGGAAGTCGGAGTGCTCATCCGTGGGGTCACGCGAGACCTCCGTCTCAGCCCAAAGGTCTGGCGTCAGGAAGCCGTAAGTCTTGCGCAGTGCATAGAAGGTCGCCATGATGAAGTTGCCACGCGTGCGGGTGTTGCCGCAGGAGCTCGTGTACACGTCCTCAACGCCGGCAAACTCAAGAATCTTCTTCGGGACGGGTGCCGCGACGATGCCAGCACCACGCGGCGCGGGGATCAGACGGACGGACACGGAGCCGCATTTGCCAGTCACCTTCATCGGGATCGTGTGTGGCTCGCCAATCTTGTTACCCCAGTAGCCGCGGCGGATGGGAACAACGTTCAGCTTGGCAGCAATCATGGAGGCGCGGATGGCAAGGGACACCTCTTTGCCGACGCGGGCGCCCACGCCGATGTGGCCGTTGCCATCGCCAACAATGTTGAATGCCTTGAAGCGCGTGCGCTGGCCGGCCGACGTCGCCTTCTGCACAGGGACAATCAGCATCAGCTCGTCACGCATGTCACTCTCCTTGATGAGCTGGTCCACAATCTGGTGCTCCTTGATGGGCATCGAGAAGAGGAAGATCTCCTCCAGAGAAGTGATCTTCTGCTCCTTCACAAGACGTCCGAGCTTCGTGCAAGGGACCCACTCCTCCTTCTCGTTGCTGCCTCCGCGGCCTCCACGGCCTCCACGGCCGCCGCGACCTCCACGGCCACGGCCAAAGCCGCGCTGTTCACCAGAGGGTGCGCGTTGGGCGTCAGCCATTGTTATTTTGCACTAGAAGCTGGAAAAAATCAGAAAAATTAAGAGAAAAAAAATCGTCATGAATAAGAGCCAATAAGGAGGAAAAAAGGGAACTTTACATTCTTTCCCCCTTCAGTGAGTTGCTTGCGTCCTTTCCTTGTTCATTTCTTTGGGGTGGGCAGATGTGACTCAGTTCCTGTTGTCCACCTACTTGTGAGTGGTTGGCATTCCGGAAGTTGTTTCAGTCGACTATCGACATGGCTTCCCTGGGCGGACCCTCTTCTTTCGTTTGCTGTGGCAAAACACGGCAAACGGTGTTGTCCACTTCTTGGTGCACCGCAGTCTCTCCCAATTGAGCAAGAAACTCGATTCGTGGAGTCCACAAAACACACACATCACCTTATGAAGAAGAGTTTGGTCCGTCCAACGGTGCTTGAAGAACCCGTCACGATACCCATTAAGGCACGCCGTCAATTTCCGTACCTGTGGCTGAAGAAAGGAGTTCACGGAAGCCCACAACGAAGCTGGTGTTGTGTGTTCGGTCGTCCGATAGCCACCAGTCTTGGCCAGCACCCACTGCATGTGCTCTGTGATCCGTCAGGAGCCGCTCGATCGCTTCCGGCAGCTCGTCAATGCAGCCATGGCCAATGCAGGTTCAGCCGGTGTGTCCCGAAACCGGGCCACTCGACAGGAGCCGTTGCAAAAGATTGTCTCGTGGAGACCGAAGGAACGCCACGTCACCGTCTAACTTTACCCAGAAACTGTAGCGCCACACAATCGGCTGATCAAAGAGAGCATGCGAGCACCACCGCGTGCCCTGAACGTCATCCGGTGACGCACGGCGCGCCGGACAGTATGGCGAACAGCCACAAAGAAACCACGTGGAATCTTCCAGCAGCGAACGGCTTTCTTCAATGTAACGCGAAAAAGTTAAGTTCATAGGCAAAAAAAAAACACAAACTTTGGCTGTACTCTTGGCAAATAGTGATATACATCCTTTAGAGAACTCCACTCTTCGCCCCTCAGCATCGCGTCTTCGACGACGTCTGCCCGCACATCACGAAATTTCATCTCCAGTGGAGTCAAGTGCCCCTCATGAACCCTTGCAAACCCGAATTCCTCTACCAACTGCACAGCACTCACTGTTAGATTGGCATAGAAAATCACCGTATCCACATTGCCCTGTGCCAGAAATCAGTTTTCCATCCAAGTAGGAAGTGTCTCCCTCAACCGTGCCACACCACGATACTGAATACTCGTCAGGGGCAAAGCGGGCACCGCACGGCCTTTTCCAGCCAATTCTCTTCTGGATTCGGCATACAAAAAGCGCGTGCTTGCCGATGCATAAGAGGAAGTGGCAGGCGGCGAGTCCATACTGTGAACAGGAAATACACGAGGGTGATCCGTCGTTTTATTGTCAGGTGTTGGTTCATGCATCAACGGGATGCTAACTGCGGAGTCAATTAGCAATAATAGCGCGACCGCGGCCATAGGGCCAAAGTAGCAGACATGACGGCGACGCATCTCTGCCGCTTCAAGAAAAAATAGAAAAAAGAGGCATGCAAACACACAAATTGACGCATCACAGAACCGTAGGGGCTCCAGTTGGCCCACACAAACAGCTCATATCCGCCAGATCAATTCAAGCCGCACGCACACAAAACAAAAAAAGAACGTCAAAGACAAGCCAACAGACCATGAAGGAACGAATACGCACATGCGAAAAAAAAGTAAAAAAAAAAAATACCTCCGTCAGATTTATTTTTGTTCACACCTTGCATTTTATTTTTCCCTTTCGCACAGGCTCCCCCAATACCATTCCCAAACAACAACAAAATAATGCTATTCTTAATAATCATAATCACAAGAAAAAATCAAAAGAGATCACAGAGCCGCGTTCACTCCTCTCCATCAGGGAAAAAATTATCAGGGTGTCCGCCGAAGCGCTTATCCTCGTTGAGTTCATCGATTTGACGCATGTCCTCTTCCGTAAGCTTAAAGTCCCAAACATTAAAGTTTTCTTGAATGCGCCCCTTATTTGCGGACTTGGGAATTGTCACGATACCGTGTTGAATGTCCCAGCGGATGACAACCTGAGCAGGGGATTTATTGTGCTTCTTGGCAATCTCCCCCAGCACGTGATTCTTCAGAAAACCCGTCCGGTCCCCGCTGCCAAGCGGAGACCAGGCTGTGATGGCAATGTTGTGTTGCTTGCAGAACTCCCGCAAAGTACGCTGTTGGAACAGCGGGTGCAGCTCCACTTGGTTCACCATCGGCCGAATTTTGCAGCTTTGAAAAAGCTCCGTGAGGTGGTGTGGCTCAAAGTTGGAAACGCCAATGGCCCGCACCTTCTTCTCCTCGTAGAGCTTCTCCAATGCCTTCCATGTGTCAACAAACTTCTTCTTCCCCGGCCAGTGAATTAAGTAGAGATCAATGTACTCCAGTCCGAGCAGCTCACGGCTGCGTTCAAAGGCCGCAAGCGTCTTTTCGTATCCTTGATCTGAATTCCATACTTTTGTTGTTACCCACACCTCCTCACGGGGCACTCCCGATTCGCGGATCCCCTGCCCCACGCCCCTTTCGTTGTTGTAGAAAGTATGCCGTATCAATGTGGCGGTAGCCTGCCTCAATTGCCCACCGGACCGCATTCGCCGTCTCGGCTCCGTCCTGTGCCCGCCAAACACCCAAGCCAAGCTGCGGCATTCGCACGGAGTTATGGAGTGTCACACAGCTGTAATTGCAATTCATGACTCACCGTAAATGTGTTTTATGTACGCCTCACCGACGATATATCTTCTCTCTCAATATGTATAAATATATTGGGTGGTAATTACTTCTTCTATTCGCAATGGCTACTCAAAAACGCATGCATGCAATAAAAAAAGTTAATGCGTTCAAAACATTGCTCCAGGCTTGGCAACACATATTTCATTCCCCAAACACAGACAAATACAAAAACGACAATAACAGCCGGTACCAATCGTGGGAACGTGTCTCCGGGTTTCACTATTTCCCAGGCACACCAACCATCCTCGTGGCTGCTGACAACACCGGCATATGTACATAATATTGCCAATGAGATCACAAGGAAAAGCGAGCCGAAAAGGAAACCCGTTGACTGTACGTAAAGAAAAAAAAAATACATAAACCTCCCTTCTCCTCCACAAAAAAAAAAAAAAGAGCAAACTTTCTAATCTCATGGCGTGTTACAAGTCGAGACACCATCAGCCATTCGTGACAGATGTCGGTGGACAAAAATAGCCTCTATTTGACCAAGCGGGTCATCGGCATCCAATACGTCGTCAAAACGCTTCATGATGCCAAAATCGGCAAACAAGATTCTCGGCATCAGGCAAATCTTTTCTTGCAGTTCGGGAAGATGTTTTTCCATCATTACCTCGCGACTCCATATTGACAAACACATCAATTCGGATGCGGTGCCACGTAATACATCCATAAAGTCAAGCATCTCGCTCAAACTAAATGGGTTGTCCGAAATAATAAGACGACGAAGTGGAGTCAGTACGGCACAAGGGAGGACATGCGCTGACGTTATTCCAACCCTCTGAAGACTCAGTGAGCGTAGTGCAGATGATTCAAATGACGCAAATGCAGAAACCGTACCCGAGGAACCAAGTTGCGTTTCATCAAGGACAAGATTCTCCAAATTTTCTTGGCATCGACTAAGAATGCGACCCAAAGCTGCCCCTCCACTCTCGCCCTGTAGGTCATTTCTTGACAGTTTTAACTCCTTTAGTGTGAATTTCATATCTGTTTGTATAGCATTGGCCCATTGTGTGAGGTGCTCTGACAGTAAGCCATTTCCATTTAAGTATAGGACATGCAGTCGGCAGCAGAGCCTCGTCAACCACTCAATCTCCTCAGCAAACCAGCACTGAGCCAGATCATTGTAACCTAGAAGCAGAGTTGTGACACCACTCCCTAAAAGTGCCTTCAGCAACTCCAGAAAACATGAAGATCTTGAGAAAATGGCGGCATCCACCGGATATCCCGTCGCTTTGATTACAGCGGGGTCCATTTGATACGGGGATTCATTGAAGCCCATACGATTTCCCTCCAATGACAGGGAACTGAGTGTCGTGTTGGAAATCAAGGCCCTTGCTAGTGCACGGATGCTTTCCGGGTACATGTTGTTGTATGCGAGATCGAGTGTCTTAAGCGTCGAATTTGTTGTGAGCGTTCCAAAGAGTGAGAGGCACCCGGGAGAAACATAGTGCGGAACGTCCACACGTGTCGTTGACCCCGCCTCTTCATCCGCATCCTCCTCGGTGGCAAGAAGCGCAACACGCTTCCTAGCAAATTGGTTATGTCGCAGCAATAAAACCTCTAAGGACTTATTTTCCCGAAGAGCATCACCGATACGCTTGAGTCCCGCACTTCCAATTTGGCAGCTGCAAAGATCAAGTAAACGAAGAGACTGAAGACCGCGTTTCGTACGAGGGAACGGCGTCTCCCAATTACCACGCGCCTCTTCCAACTCTGTCACCTCCTCCTCCTCTGCAAATTCTTCGACATCGTCGACAAAACCAACGTCCGTTGTTGAACGCACCATCGCGGTCTTTCGAGAATCCTCATCATCCTCGTCCATGGAATTTTCCAAAGCCTCTTCATCATCAACATCCTCATCATCGCCGACCACGGTCACGCCTGTTACGGAGCGTGATGAAGGCTTTACGGCTGGAAAGACGACACTCGAACGCTTTTCTGTGCGTGCCTTCTCGGCCTGTGCTGCCTTCATTAGGGACCAGGCGGAGCGGTGTTCATTTATTAGCTGTCGTCGCTTACTCACTTCCTCAACAACACAATTCCTCCGGCTTGACAACAGCTCGCTAAGTAGTTTGTCCGCCCCGTCAGAAAGCTCGGTCTGAATACGCTCAATCTCCTCCTCTTCCAGCTGCACCTCATGCCGGAGCACCGCAGCTACGCCCGTCGCCCCTTTATTCCCAATCGGATTGCCCCGCAGCCGAAGTACTTGCAGATGTGACCATCCACTACGTCGCTGGCAGTATTTCTCAATCCTGATGCGCTTTTCTTCTGCAATTTCTGCCTGAATGGCGTCAAGCTCCTTCACCAGTTTACCAGCCTCATTCATGTATTCACTCACAAAATCGACGCGCGCCTCCCTTTCATCGCGCAACAGCCCTCGAAAAATCCGTGCGAACTTCTTTACAAGATGAGGGGGGAGTTTATACTTCTCTTCTTCATCCTCCTCTCCCTCTTCCCCCTCCTCGTCGTCATCGTTATCTTGGCTCTGCTGCAGTTCCTCGTCTTCTTCTTCCTCTTCCACCTCTTCTTCCTCCTCCTCTTCTTCGGCCAATCGCTTCTTCTTGCTCTTCCCCAGGTTTTTTGCTTGAGCCACATTCACCGCTTCTTCCTCTTCCTCTTCCTCTTCTTCCTCTTCCTCTTCCTCGTGCAGGTGGGGAAGAAAAAAACCAATGTCGTTCAAAACACCGTCCTCCGCTTCCTCATCCTTTCCATCGTTCTCACTTTCTGGAAGATACTGCGGTGTGAACTTTGTATCGGAGGTGGCAAGGGCCTCCAACAACAAAACAGCGCCCGTCCCAGAGATGTTGTTGTAGCTGAGATTTAGTTTAAGAAGAAACTTGTTTTCTTTTATGTATTCTGCAAGAAGAGGAATGACATCCGCCTCATTGGACGAAAGCCCCAGGTCATTACCCTCCATATTCACCACCCTTATCATGGAATCCTTGAGTAATGGTATTAAACTCCCTGACACATGACTGAGTGCCGTGTATGGGACCTCTAATGTAACAAGACGCTGGGCTGCTTGCAGGAACTCCTGAAGCACCATTTCCTCCGTGCTCTCTTCAAACTCCCCCGCAAGAGCAAGAGAGCGTAGTTGTTGCATCATACGACGGTTAATATTCAACGCTTCGATCACACCAGCAAGAAAAACTTTGGCCGAGGGTGAAGGCATCAGTGTCACCCGTCGCATGCTCTCCGATATACTGCTGTTTTTCCGTTGGGCCTCCAAGCGCATAACATGGGCAATGAAATCCACCACCTGATCAGATGGCAGCTTTACGTCAGGAATTCTCTCTAATTCCAATTGCATTTTCAAAATGTGTGAAAGATGGTACGCAGTCACAGGCATTTCGTTTGGTTCTATAGCCTCGGCCTCATCCTCTGTTTGAGCAATAAGCGGAATCGCTGCCTCACAAAAAGCGACTACGGAAGGATCCGCAAAGCTCGGCCACTGAGCCATATTGGTCCTCGAGGCAACGACGTAAGCGCTGAACTTGGAAATAGAAGAGTTCACACGTTCTGTTAAGTCAGTTGACAATTCCTTCACGGAAGCGTCACATTCAGCCGCAACAGCAGCAGTCTCCTTTGTGCGTCCCCTGGAAGATAATAATGCGTGGCAGCCATCCTGACCAGATTTCCTTCGTAGGTGTTTTGTATCAAAATGCAAAGATGGATCCGCGGTCAATGCAGGGCACCATGTACGCGACATGGCTTTTATACCCTCTCGTGCCCCTAAATTCAAAAAGGTATGTGCACTAAATTTAAATAATAATAATAATAATAATAATAATAATGAATAAAAGGAAAATAAGAAAAAAAAAAAAAAAAGCAAACAGAGTGACAGAGAAAAATAAAAGGGTTCCAAATCTAAACGACACCACTCGTACCAATCAATACAACGGAAAGCAACCGTCCCATCATTCTGCGTGCGTATATAAATGTACGGAGAAGTAATGAGTTAATTTTTCAATCGTTTACGCTTACAAGCAAGCCGCTGAAGTGGGCGCAGTCGTTGCAACTGAGCAACTTCATCATCTTCGCTCTCCAGTATCAGTGGAACCTGGAAGCTATCCTCACCGCAGAGCAGGCACGATGTGGTCGCCGGTTCAGCCCCGGGGGCGGCATCTCTCGCCTCGCCCTTTTTCATGACTGAATCGGAGCATGAGGAGTTACAAACAACATGTCCACAACCCCAAAACCCAACAAACTTGTGGAGCCCAGACGACGCCTCAAAGCCACTTAAAGGGCATCGGATACACACCCGCTCGCCCTCCTCCACATTCTTCACCTCACAGACATCCGAAAGCTTTGCGACGGCGCAATTCCCACCGTCAAAGCCTTCTTTATTGTATTTGGGTCGATGTCTTCGTTCTAAAAGCTCATTCACAATGGCTCGTTTTGAATACAACCGGCCACAGAGATCAAAGACAACGGGTGTTTCCAACGGCTCTAACGACAATGCGCAATGTGCCCATCGCTGAGCAATTCGTTCCTTTTCCTTTTGCGTCACATCCACCTCCTTGCCCGCTCCTTTTCTCAGTTGCTCGGCGGTAACAAAGACCCTGGATTCTTCCAAATGCTTACGCTTATTCGAAAGTGACTGGCCGTCACCCCCCATTGAAGGTGGACACCCGCAGGCTTGAGCAAAGAGAAGAAAGAAAATATAAAATTAAATAAAATAAAGCAAAACAAACCATTAAATAAATGCACAACCTAACACTGACATATATATATATATATATATACAGTGGCGTAAATACATACGTACATAAATAAACGTGTAAAAATCACCCAATTCACAAGAAAAACCATATATAAATATATCCATTGGTCATGTCCCTGTACCGTTCTTTTTGCAAGGAAAGCCAAAGACATTCACATGCATTTTAGTTTTTGCCGTGTTTCTTGGGATTATAGTCCCCCAAGTGCAGCTTCAACACGGGACACGTCGTCTGCGGGGCATCGTAATCGTAATAAACCACAACATGATACGCCATTTCCCCATCGGCCCGCGACATGGATGAAACGCTTTCGTGTTTCAATGAAAAGGCCTCAAATAAGTTTTGCTTAAAATCGCGCACAATAAGACCGGGCTCCACGCGAGTCAACCACATGCGAAACCCGCACGTTGTTGTGCCGCCATGACTCTCAATAATTTTCTGTGACACCGCGTAAAGCTCCAAGTCTACATCACAACTAAATTGACCATCAAAAACAGGCATCCCAACCATCTTGTGGTGGACAATAACTTTTTTAGAAGAGGCCTCCTCCGCCATCTCGACACATGCACATCCAGCACTAATCTACTGAGAAAACAAACAAAAAAGAGAAGAAACAGTTAAAAAAAAAAACAGTTAAAAAAAAAAAAAAACAGCAAAAAGTACAAAACACACAGCAGACGTCCACGGTACCCCTATGCATACATGTACCTACCAATTTAACATTGCCTAAAAGAGAGCAAGCGGCAGTAAACTGGATCGTATCGTACAACATAACAAAATAAAGGTATAAATAAAACAACAACAACAACAGAAACAAGGCCCACACTGTTTGATAGCCATTTCTTCGCCAACAAAAATCAACTGTTATTATTATTTGACGTCGCATCGTTACCAGCAGACAACTTTAACTCCAGAAAAAACAATTTTGCTTCCAATGCATCCAGCCTTGTACACAACTTATCTTCGAGTCTTTCCAGAGTAGCCACAATGCTCGCCAGCGTTGCACCTACAGGAGGCTGTTGCGGTTGCTCTAACCCCACAATTCGAGAACGAGGATGACTTGCGCTAGATCCCATTAGAGAAACTTGTTCGGAAGAATGCACCGAAACTGCCGACCGAGTCACAGGAAGTGGTTCAAAGGAAATAACCGGATCCCAAACCACCCTAAATAAATTAAGCGAGATCACTTCACTACTATACATGCTCAGTCGCCAGCGTTCATGTTGTCCACTTCGCTGGCATTCATCCGTGCAATATAAATCTACACGATAATAAACGGTAGCTTCATGGACCATAGCTTTTCTACTAGAAAGATTACCCGCCCAAATATGTCCCAAAAAAGGATTACCACTCGAAGCAACTCCCTTTGCACGTGTAATGTACGTCATGCCATTCCATGCACTATTCGGATGGTGAGCTAATATCCCTATGTAACACTTTTGAAGCTCCTCATTCGTTGTGTCAAGGTTGCAAAGTAGTCCTAGCACATCGCGCTCACCAATCAGGTTAAAGTTTCCCCAGTAGGGCGTCTCACAGTCTGTATTGCCTTCTTGTGGAGAAACAACTGTGGGAAAACTGTAACGTTTACCCACGTAGTGCATGATGGAGGCATTCTCACTAGAGCATGCTGAATTCATTGGCTGGGGTGCGGTATCTGGGGGTTCTGGGCCATACTTCCCCTTCAGTATCGCAAAAAGCTGCTCCTCCTCCCCTTTATAGGCGGTAAGGTACTCCTCAATTCTGTCCAATTTTTTGGGGTTATACTTCTCATAAAACCGGTAGAGTCTCTGATAGAAGCCATGGCGTATACCCTCGTCGAAATCTGCCTGCTTTTCGTGATAATACCCCGAGCTACTCTCACGGGACTCCCACGCACTTTCGCTTAAGTATGAATAGTTTTTGGAATGTAACCCCTGTGCGACCGGATGGGAGGCACTTGGGTGACAAGAAATTGTCTTCGACGATCTTAATGTCGCCTCTAAAAATGGCTTTCCCTCTGCCGATCCATTTCTCTTCGGCAGCGGCTCCTCCATTTGGCACGCGCTAGAAATGCGTCAAATCCAAAAAAAAAAAAAAAAAAAACATAGAGTAATCAACCACTAATACCACTAATAGTAACACTTATAGAAATGCAGATTACACCCCCCGCTAATGCGGTGGCAATGCGTGCAATTTATTTCACTCTATCCCCATATCAAAGACATCCCGGGCAAGGCAGCACCCATTTCATGTCAACAGCATATAATCGCTGCTTCTTAAATTAAAACCGCTCAAGTTACGCGTTTCACTGGCAACATTGTCATCCATTCCTTGTAGGAAAAGAGCAACCCTCTCCCACACAGACCAAAGGAACAAAAAAAAAAAAAAAAAGATACGCAAAAAATTTTTGGATACCCCAAAAAGCTCAAATTAAAACAAACGCAATAACAAAAGAAGAAAGTGACACAGGGCCAATGGAAAAAAAAAGGGGAAAACACCGCTTTGCGGCGTAATCAAAAGCAAAAATCGTTATTTTTTTCTTTTTTGGCTCGCGTCTCCCGTTTCGTATCCGCTTCCCAAGTGTTTGCGGACGCGTCCTTCCCGTCATAGCCACGTAACTCAGTGCATAATTGCTTCGTTCACGGGTGAGCCAAAAAGCGGCCCATAAATTTATTCTAACTGTCGTGTCGGACTTTCCTGTTGAGCCGCCTCCGCTACTTCAGACAGTCAAAGACCCTCGGAGGCGGCAAAAAAAAAAGTGCAGGAAAAAAAAAATGTCCCGTGACTGCATCCTTATCCTTCTTTCCTTTTTTTTTTGGAAATTGCTTAAATGGCTCGCTTCTGTCCTTTGCATCCCGGCGCGCACTTGTTATTTGGAAGAGGCAATACAAAAAAAAGAAAAAAAGGAAAATGTACGCATGTATACAGCGTCGGGAAAAGAACAAGCAAAATAGAAAAGGATAAGGAGTGCGCCCGAGTTGTCACCAAATTGCGTGCCAACACATGCACACAGACGAATTAGAGGACAAGGAAACTGTCCATGTGTTTTAAACGATTTATCACAACAACAACCACTACTACCCCTTCCACCATATCTTCTTTCTTCCTCTCCCTCTTTCTTCCTCTCTCTTCCTCTCTCTCTCTCTCTCTCTCTATTTTTCCCTTTCGCACAAAAACGCCCCTGGAGCAGAGCAAAGAATTCCTTCCCCATCCAGCATTACTGGTATTATTACCATTATTAGTGCGTATACCTTTCACTTCTTTCATTGCTGTTGTTCTTCTTCTTGCCAAACGTTATTGCCAGGACGGGTTAGGGAATGAAGTGCCAGCGGATTCAAGGAATCAAAACTCCTTAAAGACAAGATCCAATGGGTTTTGTTCTGGTGGTGGATTCAGCGCCTTATGCATCTCGGACTTTGTTTTGATGCCCTCGTTGATTTGCGTCTTCTCAAGACGGCGTGTCTTCCTATCCCGACGTTGCTCCGTTGGAGACTTTGCCAT